ACGTGATTATGACATATTATCGTGATCAAGACTTGAGACTAAGGCACAATGACATGTGCAATCTATGATCCATGAGCCATCCTGTTCCTATATTCATGAGTTGGGACACCTTTTAGGTCTAGGTTTATTATAAGCCCCAAAAAGACAGACCATAAAGTTCATTTAGGTTGTTGGTAAAGTTGGTTCTCTTCATAGTAATGCCTCATAAGTGAAGTACAATGCAAGATGATGATAATTGAAAAGAATGTGTTGTGCAAAATAATGCTATCAAATTATAGTTTTTGAAGGATATGTTGTACACTTTCAAAACACAATGGATTGAGACTAAAGACCATAGATCTTATACCTGGAAGAATTTCACCCCACCCGTGTGGGATTTGGTTTGGCCAGTTAAATCAACACATACTTGCTAGGATGTGTATTTGTGTGTGTATGATATGACTGTTCAAATACTGATGCCGCGGGATAGCTACCACACCGACAGAGCTGTTAAATTAAATGAGTTGCTCGTGAACTCGGCTCGGCTCGACTCGTTAGATAAATGAGTCGAGATCGAGCTCATTGAAAGGTTGTTCAGTTTACGAGCTGAGCTCGACTCGACTCATCTCAGCTCGATAAGGCTTAAAAAAATAGTTTTTAAGTATCTTTTTATAATTCGATTCGATTTTGGCTTGTTAATTGATAAACGAACTAAACTTGAACTCGATTATAAGCTCGTTAAGTTGACAAGTTGAGTCAAGCTCGTTAAGGGCTCGAGCTCGGCTCGTTTACACACCTACACACCGGTGTAATTTTATGCACTTAATTAATTATTTAATGGTTTACTTTCATGCACTTAATTATTCGTGCGTTAGTATTTTTTGACTTATTTATTATTTAGATATATTTATTTATTTTTAATTATTTTATATTTTATTTCCAACACAATGGAGTATTTTGTAACACAAAGTATGTGAAGAAGAAAGTTTGGTGTGATCAATTCATAGGGCTTTCAATATCAGCCATTAGTTGGGCCCAAACCCACA